TTTTTTTAAAGATTTTATTTATTTGAGAGAGAGAGAGAGCAGAGTAAGAGAGAGCAAGGGTGGAGGGGAGGGGCAGAGGGAGAGGGAGAAGCAGGCTCCCCGCTGAGCAGGGAGCCCTATTCAGGGCTCGATCCCAGGACCCTGGAATCATGACCTGAACCGAAGGCAGATGCTTAATACACTGAGCCACCCAGGTGCCCCATAGAGTAGAGTATTGACTGACTGACTGACTTATTTATTTATTTATGAGAAAGAGAGAGAGAGAGAGAGAGAGTGTGTGTGTGTGTGTGTGTGTGTGTGCAGGGGGAAGGGCAGAGGGAGAGGGAGAGAGAATCTTAAGCAGGCTCCACACCCAGCACAGAGCCTGATGCGGGGCCAGATCTCATGACCCTGACATCATGACCTGAGCTGAAATCAAGAGTCTGACCCTTAACCGACTGAAGCAACCAAGCACCCCAGTAGGGTATCAACTCTTGATCTGGGGTTGTGAATTTGAGCCTCACATTAGGCACAGAGATTGCTTAAAAAATTAATTTAAAATGACTGAATGAATGGTCATTAATTCAACTTAATTGTGTTTTGAATCTTGAGAAAGTGAAAGACTAGTTCTGGACATCCTATCAAATTAAAGCTCCTATCAGTAATGTCTTGCTTCAAGAAAAATATTTAAGCAATGTACAGTCATGGTAAAATCATGTTATTTCTAGCTAGTTGTCTTCTCAAGTAAGTTCCATGAAACACTCTTCCTATGAGGATTTCAAAACGTTCTCGTGTGCAGTTTGTGAAGAGTCGGATTAAATACAACTGAACAAGTTTCTTAGCTGCAGGCTGCCCAAGAGCCTTTAAGCTGCCGTCCATTGTGACAGAGAGGGAAATGGTATGTAACCTTTCCCCAAGTGATTTAGCCACAGACCCCTTATGTGAGGCACGTCTGGAAGCAGCCAACAGGATGCATTTGTCCGAGTTCTCCAGAGAGTCAGATCCCATTGGAGGTAAAGGTCTCAAAATTACTGGAATTGGCTCCCACAGGTATGGAAACTGAGAAGTCTCCCTGTCTGCCACATGCAAGCTGGAGACCCCGCAAAGCCCGTGTGGTAATCCAGTCCAAATCCTAAGGCCCACAAACCAGGAGCACCAGGATCTGAGGGCAGGAGAGTTCTTGCTTTGCTGACCTACATAGGAGCCTGTGTTTGTCTGAGGGGCAGAAGCAGAGTCTTATTCAGAGTTTGTTTTTCCTGTGCCTAGTACAAATGTCTGCCAGAGAGGAGTTTTTATGACTACAACACTGAGGGCGCCTGGGTGGCTCAGTTGGTTAAGCGACTGCCTTCGGCTCAGGTCATGATCCTGGAGTCCCGGGATCGAGTCCCGCATCGGGCTCCCTGCTCAGCGGGGAGTCTGCTTCTCCCTCTGACCCTCCCCCCTCTCATGTGCTCTCTCTCTCTCTCTCAAATAAATAAATAAAATCTTTAAAAAAAAAAAAGACTACAACACTGAATATGGGCTCCATATTCTCCATTTTCTTTTACTCATGTGGCCCTGTTAGTCATTTCCACTTCAAAAATAAAAGGGAGGCCAAGACAACATGAGAAAAAGAGCCTGAGTCAAAGGGCCACTTGGACATTTTTCCCTCTAGCCTTGGCAGAGCACAGAGGCAGGAATGGATCATGCACAGTCCGTCAGGGGCCTTAGTCACCTTAATGATCCCCACAGCCGGTGGCATAATTGATTGGGCCACTGAGAACATTATTGATCGTGGAAATGAGCAAAGTAATTGGAGCAGCCAAATTGTGGTTCAGTCCAGTAAATATGTGCCTGTTTGATGAGTATTCTTGTGATTTGGTGATTTTTCTTTATTTGTTATAGAATTCCAGTTGGAAATGGTCTTAGAGATCATCTGGCACAATGTTTTTATCTTGTAGGTAGTTTAGTTCGGAGAGGTTACAGGTCCTGATCCGGGAGACATGGTTAGTGGTAGAAACACTAGTCCCATGGCTCCTTATTCCTTATCTTTCAACAACATTCTAGTGTGGGTGGGTAGTGGGAGTGAGCAAGAAGCCTCTGCTCTTATGTCGCTGAGATTTTTTTCCTCTCTTCCTGCCGTGTCACTGAGCCCAGGCTGTCTGAGCCTGTGTATGACTAGCTTATGAATAGTTGAGTTCTATGACACCCAAGATGCCCTTGGAAGAAAGATATGGGAGTAGTACCAAACTCTTAGCTACATGGTCTGTCCATGTGGTAGGGGATGTGTCTCTTTGTGTGTGTTATTGCTGTTACTGTATTTAATTTTATGAATATTATATACCTTTCTTGAGAGTTAAGGCTTTTTGTGGGGGGTGGGATTTGTGGCTTGGGAATCCATTTTCTTGGAGAATAATTGGTAGAGCCAAGGGAAATAATGTAGAGCTAGAAATCTTGGTTATCAGTTCATAATTATGAGCCATATTTTGTGTTGAAAAACTAAAGAGAGTAGACTAAATCACTCAACAACCGTTCCTTCCCCTTTTTAATGATCAAATGTATAAGAACCCTAATCCACTCAGGGACGCCTGGCTGGGTCACTCAGTAGAGCCTGCAGCTCTTGATCTTGAGGTCGTGACTTCGAGCCCTACGTTGGGCGTAGAGATTGCTTAAATAAATAAACTTAAAAAAAAAAAAAGAATCTTCATCCATTCAAGAATTGCATAATATGCTTAAAGGGGGCTTTGGCAAAATAGACTAAACTGATAGTATTTGAATGATACACGCTTCCAGCCTGCAAGTTGGCCTGTCTTACCACAAACAGCTCTTAGGTACAGATCTGAGTGTGGAGAAGAGGATGGAGAACTGGCTTGTGCCATCAGGAAATGGCTGAGCCTGGGTCCCACCAGGGGAAGTCCTGTTCTAGTCTGGACCCTGTTTTTAAGATCCAATGGAAATGATGTCTGGATGACAGTGGTGGACCTGATGATACCCAACACCCCGTGGGATACCAGTTCTCCCAAATCAGATCTACTTGAAAGGAGGTAGGACTTTATTCTTGCTATTTTCTTAGGCTTCCCAGAAACGATGACATTTTCTGAGAAGCTTAGTAACACTTGCAGAAGTTCCCGTAATTAGTTCAGACTCTGTAGGCTCTGCTAACAATAACAAAGCTTTTGGAAACCTCCCAGGAGCTGTTTGCCAGAAAGAACACCCTCCACGCACCTTATGATTCACATCTGACCATTCACCTTCCCAAATTCTGCAGCCACTTCCCTTCCTACCTCTGCTTTTGCCTATCCTCCTCCAACAGCTTGGGTGGCCCTTATTTCCTTTTCTACCTCATCCTTTGAGGTCAAGTTTAAATGCTCCTACTTTTATGATAAGTTCCGCTAAAAATGTTAAAACCCACATTGACCCAACAATTCACTCCTAGTTATTCACCCAGTAGAAATTAACACCTATATCTACAAAAAGACTCGTACAAGAATATTCAAAGTAGCTCTGTCCATAATAGCTGAGAACTGCAAACGATCCAAATGTCTGTCAACAGATACAGGTTGTGGTCTGTTCCTCCAACAGACTACTGCTCAATCAGACAAAGGAAGCAGCCACTGTTCTTCTTAACAAGTGGATACATTGTGCCGTATGAAAGATGTCAGAAACGAGGACGCATATGAATTTTTCCATTTCTGTAAAATTTAAGAACACAGGCAATATACTAATCTATGGTGAAATGGATTGGAACCGTGATTGCCTTTGGTGGAGATTGCCTGAAAGGGCCGAAGGGAACTCAGTGGGATGATGAACACGTTTCGGGTCTTGACCGGGGCACGGGCTATAGGAGCATTTGCATTCATGAAACATCAAACTCTAACACCTCAGATCTCTGCCTTTTACTGCATGTAAATTAAAACGAGGTCAAATAAAAACAGGAAAGGCAACAGACCATTTTTTCTAGCCCTTAATTTTACCCATTTCCTATGACTTTAGGCGTGATGCTTTCCCAGTTACCTCTCTGCGAACTTACTGTCAGAAAGAGTCCAGTATCTGTCAGTTACACTCACGTGTTTATTTACGTGATTGATTTATATGTTGTTAAGTCTAACAGTATTAGTTTACAGCTCAAAGTGTTTCCTACATTAGATAGAAAACAAGGAAGATATTTTGGGGGACTTCAAGACCCTTTTTGGCCCTTCTGACCCCATGGGCAGGTGTTTTATTCATTTATGAAGGTTATTCCTGATTCCTACATAGTTATTTATTAAAGACGGTTTTCCGTTTGTCTTTTTTCCCCCCATTTTCTCTCACTCGGCCCCCCGCAAAGGAGGGTATGTCGGCAAACACACATAATCTTCCCACAAAACTCACTCTCAGAAAACTCTGCTGAATCTCTTTCTCCTCTGGAACTTCCAGACTGTTCTATTGTTTCCCTTGACATGTCTCCCTCCCCCACCGAGCTCGGGGCTCTCTTGCAGGTGGGAAGTGTCTTTCCTTCATTTCCCCAGTGCCCAGCCCAGGAGCAGAACAAAATATAGGCATTCAATAATGTTTATTGAAAAAGATGAATAAATGGCACTATATATATTTTTTTCTCCTGTGGCTGGTGAAGTGAACAAGAGCTACATTCAGAGGCTAGAACTTTGGGATGGGTTGCATTTTGCAGAGAGGGTTATCTCCCTTTCTCCCCCCTTCCATGACCCTCCTCCCCTTGACTCCCCGTATGACGATTTCATGACCGCATCCTTGTAGTGTAACGGTTCCTGTTAACTTCATACTAGAGGAGACGTTGGGGGAGAAGATGGCCATTATAAGATGGAAGGAATTTGAACCAAAGAAGTGATGACTTTTCCAACGAGATTACCGAGTGTTACACTCTGGCCTTTTACTCTGTTGAAGGCAACGTTTTCCTGCCGGGCTTCTCCAAACACAATATGCTCGGGTTGGCTTGGGCTTAAAATGTAATATTTAAAACAGCAACATGTCTGACAGATCTCAGAAATGAAATATGTCTGTTTCTTGCAGCACGGAGCAGAAGGCAACATGAAGCAGCTGCAAGAATTAATTTACCACGAAAGTTGACATTTTCGAGCTGACTGTCTCTTAGAGAAAATGATGTCACCCTCTAGCAGCCTAATGACAGTCATCAGCCTGGGAGGACACATGCTAATAAGGTTCACTGCTCACCTGCTTTTCTTTTTGGTTTAGCCAGGGTGTCCTTGGATGCCCATGATTTGGCGTTGTGTTCCTCGAATAATTTCCAAGCAGGACTGGAGTGTGAAACTCAGGGAATGATTTTTTTTTCCTTGTCAGAAAATTGAACGAATAGACCTTTACCTTCTTCCAGTGACTCCAAGTCCTAGTATTAGTTTGCTCATAAGCTGGTTGACTTTTCTTTTGTAGGTGTTGGAACCAGTGTTTACATTGGGAAAGGCCATTGCTTCAAGAGGCTGGGTCACCCTGACCTAAAGAAGGACAGGTGAGATGAAAATCTAAAGTTTCAGGGCGCCTGGTGGCACCGCGGCTAAACGTCTGACTCTTGGTTTTGGCTCCGGTCATGATCTGAGTCGGGAGATTGAGCTCCAGCTCAGCTTCTACCCTTAGTGCAGATTCTGCTTGGGTTTCTCTCTCTTCCTCTCCCTCTGCCCCTCCTCCCCGCTCTCTCTCTAAAATAATACATGGGTGGTTCAGTCGATTAAGTGTCTGCCTTCAGCTCTGGTCATGATCCCAAGGTCCTGAGATAGAGCTCTCTGCTCAGCGGGGAGTCTACTCTTCTTCTCCCTCTGCACCCGCCCCCCCCCAGCTTATGCTCTCTCTCGCTCACTCTCTTAAATAAAATCTTTAAAAAAAATAAATA